TTCCCCTCCTTAGGGAAAAGCACCCCTTTAAAAAATTTTATTTAGTTGCCAATTGCTCATCCTGTAAGGGTTTGTTCACATAACACTTCTTCTGTGGAAGCCTTATTGACTTCCCTACCTGCTGTGATAACGCATGTTTTCCAAAGACCGTCACAACGGTACCTCCCGACTTGCATCTTCTTCTTACAACATAGCTTTGACCTTCCTCCTCTCCAAATGTGGGGTCTATGTTCCTTTACCTTGAATCTGGGCAATGGTGAAAGTGTTGCTCTGTGACTTTTGAGGGTAGCTCATGAAAGGAGGCACAGCTTCTGCCTGATTCTTTGGGGACACCAGCCCTTGGAACTCCACCAGCATCCTGTGAGGAAGCCCAGGCTCCACAGAAAGGCCATGTGTAGATGTTTTGGCCCATAGCCCTAGCTGTGGTCCCGTCTCACAGGCAGCATCAACCTCCAGACATAGGAATGAATGAGCTTTGATATAATTTTTCCAAGAAGACCTAGTTTGCTGCTGTTGTTTTAATTGGAGAAGGGTATTAGGAACCCAGATGTGCGTGGTAGGTGTGTTCATTGTTACTGGGGCGGGTCATGTTTAAAGAAATACTCACTCTGGCCAGGCTCAGTGGCTCACGCCTGTAATCCCAGCACTTGGGGAGGCCAACGTGGGTGGATCACAACGTCAGGAGTTCGAGACCAGCCTGGCCAACATGGCGAAACCCCATCTTTACTAAAAATACAAAAATCAGTCAGGTGTGGTGGTGCGCATCTGTGATCCCAGCTGCTCAGGAGGCTGAGGCAGGAGAATCACTTGAACTCAGGAGGCGGAGGTTGCAGTGAGCTGAGATCATGCCATTGCACTCCAGCTTGCGTGACATAGTAAGAGTCTGTCCCAAGAACAAAGAAAAAAAGAAATATTCAGTCTGCGTGAGATGAAGTGAGGCATGCATTGGTACTTCATGTGCTCCCACTCTATATCCAAATTTAACTCTAATTGTTAGATGTTCTGGCTTGTAGTTGCGGCCATTTTCTTGTTTCATTAACAATGGATCTTTCTCTTTTAAAATTAGTTTTATTCTTGTCAGTGGATTTTCTTGCAGCGTTCTCTCTTTCCAAGCTTTTCTTACATTCACCTCGGGACTTTGCAAGAAACATAGCTTTCTAACTATAGCGTCTATAAGCATATATCAAGAAAGCTCAAATTTCCTGAGAAATATACAGATCTGCATCTCATATGCTTTGTGTTACATCTCATGTAAAACGTCTTCATTTAACATCTTTGTTTTACATCTCGTGTAAGATCTGCAACTCATATGCTTTGTTTTACTATTAAACCTGCCTGCCTTATCCTTGGGAGTGAGAAACATTTTTATAGTGTGTAGATCTGCTCTTTCCAATTGCTTGACAACTGGGGAAATAAATTGAAGTGTTTCTAGCATATTTAACTTAACTCTAAGCAAAGCCTGATCATTTTGGGCCTGTGACTTCTATCGACTGCGTATCTTCTGATTCCAATGTCAGAGCTAAGTGGTCTGTTTAAATCTTTACTGGGGGCTTTTAACTGCCTGTTTATGTAATATCTATGTAATGTTTGTCCAATTTTATGCACTTGAACACTTTTAGCTTCATTTTTGGATAAGAAAAAAGGAAAGTCAGTATCCAGCCTTAAGGGTAAATACAATACTAATGAGTGTATTAGTACTTTTCCTCCTCACTCCCATATAAATTGAAGTACGCAGTCAATTCTGCATATGGAAAGTCTCCAAGAAAGTTAACTGAGCTCAGTGTTGGGGCCAAACAGCCTTTCTGACTGCTCATCGAGAAATCCCCATCAGTATTTGGAAGGTGACCTGGTTCCTAAAGATAGACACTCAAGGTAAAATTAGTTCTATTTATAGTAAAAGACTTGCCTCAGGAATGGACTCAGCTTTAATGGGTCCTTTCCTTGTGTGAATTGGTATCTCCTGGAAAGCGCTGGAACTACACACGTTCTCTTGGGTAAATGTGGGTTTAAAAGGAAAGATATGTATTTTTTAAAATCTGCCCAGGATATTGACCCCAGCACTGTCATTTTTAGAATGGATGCTTTAAAAGCTGGCATAATCTATCCCATGCTCCCTTTTCACCCTGCCTTGATGGCTGGGAGTGTCCCAGAGAGGAGTCATGGCTATTTTTGTGTGTGTTGAGCCTTAGCTCAGCAGAAACTAACAGGTTCTCTGAGTATACCTAAGGAACTCTGAAGAAGGTCCTCAGTCTCTTGGACAGAAGCAGCATAGGCTGTACCTGCTGAAAGTGTCCCCAGACCCTCTATATTCTTCCTTCCTAACTCAACCCCCATCTCTTTTTTTTTCTCCCTTGCATGGAGTACACCCTATTTCCATCTGTTTTTTTTATTTATTTACATCCCATAAATAGTGTGATAATTCTGCAGCAAATCTCTACGTAGGATAATAAGGCCCTGAAAAAAGGTAAGTAGATATGGCCACTCTTAATACAGACTCCAGAGCCTTTGGGGTACTGGGAAGCACAGCACGTAGAATTTGGACCCTTGGACATCAGCAGAAACAGAACGTCATCTGCCTGCAGTTGCTCCGGTTGCTGCCAATTAATAAAAGGGCAGCATGAAGTCTTCCTGGGATGTTGTTTCTACACTATGCGCCATATTAGAGAGCCACGGACTGCTCTCTGTGGCCTCCCCTGAGATTCAGAGATCAGCTCCCACCCAAAGAGTGCGAGCTTGGACCATGCTCTCGCCAAGTGCTACAACCTGGGGATGGAGAGGCCTTCCTAATATCGCTTGAAAATACTCCCCAGGGGATCTTGGATTCGCCCTATAGCATCGTCTATGGTTCTTTGAATTGCAGAGAGACAGGAGAAGATAGGACATAGCTTGCATTTGTCCTGGATCTATTTCCTGGGAAAGGCATATTATAAACCACTTGCTCATTTTACTCAATCTTCTTTTTTTGTTTTTCATTTTTGGCCTCCAGTAGCCTGTGGGACAACATATCGCATCAGTAACAATGGCTGGCAGTAGAAGGGATCCTTCCCAGGACTGGAGCAGGTGGAGAGCAAATTTGTCTCCTCAAGAACATGTATTGAAATCTGAGGCAGAGGTATATATCGTTTTCAAAACTCCCTAGATGATTTCGATGTACACACCTTTTCAACTCTTCATTACTTTGTCATTTTAGGCTCCACACTGGCATTTCTTACATTACTGTAATAAGTAAAATTTGAATAATAAATATTTTACAAAGCTCTTCATTAACCTGCACTCCAAATTGAAGGGGAGAAGTCATTCTTTTATCCATCCTCTCCCCCTTGCTGATTTGTTTGCAGAATACAGGTGCACAGTATTTTATTTTACAAAGAAATAACGATTTCTTTATTTGAAAAAGTACTACCTAAATAAAAGATGTATAATGAAGTTGCCAGAGTGTGATGTGGCCACAGCTGTACACAATATACATTGGTAAGCTCTTAAATCGTGGAATCTGGAATAACATAGTGCCGTTCATGGAAAATTGAAGTACTAATTGTGCTCATCGATTGTATGAAAAGTGAAAACGGTGCTGTTATACAGAAAGATGAATTATATTGCTCTCTGCTTAGAGAGCTGCTATGCTAAATTAAACCTGACACTAAGCCTAAGGGGATTGCATCATTTGAGGGCGAAAAAAAAAAAAAAAAAAACCACACAACAGGTAAACCCTGACAATTCTCATCCTCTTTCTGTTTTTCCTTTATTGCCATTTGTTCTGGGAACAAGGGTATAATATTTCTCAGAAGTTCATTCCTGGCACGAGGGTCTAGGCCAGGCCATAAGCTCATCTCAGCTTCATTCAATTCCCGGCCATTCATGGATCCCTCTGTCTCACCTGGTCTGGTAACTGGCTTCTGAGGGAATCCCCCTGTGAGGTTTGAGCTACCCAGTCCTGAGAGCTTGGGCCAGTAATTTTCCATTTCTAGGCCTCAGTTGTCTTAATTCAATGTCAAGAAATTTTGGTTAAGAAATGAAGAGTTGAAGAAACAAATCAGATTTTTAAAAATAAAAGAGCTCTTCTAGAGCTACCAATCAATGGTTCTAAGACAATTGTGTCCTTTCTGAGGTCTTTAGCACAAAGCCACTAGAGTAACATATTTTCATTTCAAGAGAGAATCCAGTGACATTGCCCCTGACCTCACCCTTCCAGAAAACCATTTGGCAACTCAACACCAGGAGCTTCTGGTTCTTAGCAACCTATTTCACTTCTTGATGCTGTTTACTGTTGAAACTCCGCGTGTCCAGGGATCCAGGTTAAAGAATTATAAGATGATTACAGCTGGAAGTTGGACCAAAGCTAGAGTAAGCAGCCACATGCCTGGTCTTTTCCATGCTCAAGGCTACCTCCCTTCAGGTGACCATCTCTTCACCTGGATTACCAAATTTGAAATCAAATTCCCCTCTAGTCTCTAAAGAATTTAAATTGGGCATCACAGAGCTATGGATGCTCTCTTGCTCCAGCTTAGCAGCAATGGAGGCAGCAGGAGCCTGCAGCACAGAACAAACTCACTCCTCCAGTAGCCGCCTTAGCCTGGCTTGGGACCAGGAACTGAATATGGGCTCTAACAGTTCTATGGTGCTATGAATCTGAAATGTTATTACTGTGTTTTTCATGGCATGTGAAATTACATTCTAGCTCACCAACTGGTCTGAGATTGCCCTCGACAAAGAGATGTTACTTCTCACTCAATTCCCTGTTAGGAGCACAATAGTACTAAAATAAATAAACAGATGAGCTTGGTTCAGAAGGCCTAGATCTGAATCTTGGATGAGTCACTTAGGGGTTGCATAAACTTCAGTTTCCTGATCTGATCTGCCTAGGCCAGCACACAGGTCAAGCAGTTTGTGCTAGACACACGGTAAGTGATGGTCACAGCACATCAGGGGGTGTGGAAGCAGCAGGCTCTGCCTTTCCCTGTCCCTCATTTCTCTTTGACTTCCTAGGGTGGCATAGTTACTATAGCACACGATGTGGAGAATGCTAGAAGAACAGTTGGGTGAAGCAGGGCCACCAAATATCCTTGCCTCTTGGAGACCTCTGGAAACCCCGGTGAGTGTGGTCTGAGGTTGGGGCCTCCCACCATGCTTGCTCCTCTCAGTCCTACCCAGCGCTGCCTCTCAAGCCTAGCTCAGGGCCCTGAAACTCCCCCTTGGGGCTTCCCTTCTCCCCAGCCCTCCCTCTTGGTGCCCTTCCTGGCTACCATGGTAACAGGTTCCAGGGTAACAAAGGAGGGAGCTGGGTCCTGTTTCCTCCCAGTCCTGCCAATAAGGATTCTCAGATCTTAGACACTGAATTGTCACGCACCTAATCGTGCTGTTTCTGTGTTCTCACCAGGGCTGAGCTCGAACTGCCACCTCTGCCAGCAGGACCATGTGTACCAGCTTGACCACTTGTGAGTGGAAGAAAGTCTTCTATGAGAAGATGGAGGTGGCAAAGCCTGCAGACAGTTGGGAGCTCATCATAGACCCCAACCTCAAGCCCAGTGAGCTGGCCCCTGGCTGGAAGCAGTATGTGGAGCAGCATGCCTCAGGCAGGTGAGAGGCTCAGTGGGGAGGGACCTTGAAGACAGCCCATGGGTCACAGCTGTGGGGTATTTTCCAAGGAGAGCTAGAGCCCCGTCCCTGGGGCAGGCTCATTCTGGTGTTAGCACAGATGGGGGAAAAGAAAGAACAGCCGGCTGGGTCACAGAGTTCTTGGTTTTAATCCTAGCAATACCACTAACTTCCTGGGTGACCCTGAGCAAATTATGGTCTATCTTTTGGTCTTAGTTGTCCACATTAAATGAAGAGCTGTAATATCTTCTACGTCCCTGCAATCTCTGACATTTAAAGAGTGAGTTGGAACTAAAGGAAGGAAGCTGTGAGTTCCATTGGGGAAAGCCTTAACCTAGAAGTTGGGGGGATGTGGGGGGTGTAGCTATGCTGTGGTCCTAGATATGTTTAGTGAATTAATCCAAATTGATCTGAATACAGAAATATTTATTGACCACCTGCTATGTGCTATGAACTGGCTATATACAGCTAAGTAGCCCTGTAAACTTGGCAAGTCTGTTTCCCTTTCTGGCTCTCTGTTTTTATATTTACAAAATGAAGGGGTTGGTCTTAGATAATCGATCCTACCCACTCTAGCTCTATTATTTATGTACCTGTGATAAAAAGATTTAACTTTGAGCAAAACCTTCTTTAGGAACTTAGAGCCCATGGTCCCACCCTTTATAGGAACTGCACATCCAACGCAGTGCAAAGAGTCCTTGAGGCCAAGGGGACAAGGCCGTCTAAAGTCCACATGCCTTTCCTCCTTTTAGATCATGATTTGGGGCTGGGACTACAGAAATCCCTGCCCAAACTACTTCAAGTCTTGTGGTAGTTTGGGCAGGGATTTCGGTAGTCCCAGTCCCAAATCATGATCTAAAAGGAGGCCATCTGTAGGGTCTGTGCAGGCCTTTTCCCTGTGTCCTTTGATTCAAGAGAGGCCAATAGGTGACTGTGATTTGGAGATGTAGCCAGAACAGGGACACAAAGGCTGGGCTGTTCACACGTGTATGTGTTTGAAGCTTCTCGTGGTACAGAATGGTGCTGAGGATGGGAACAGAGGAGGCAAGATGTGGGTGGGGAGCTCACATTTGTACTCTTGCCCCAAGACCTGGAATTATTGGAGTAAACCTGGCTTGTGAAAAAAAAAAACACACACACACAGAAAGCCAGAGGTTGGCTGATTCATGTCAGTTCCATCAATTCAAGAAGCATCTGTTGGGTACCTATTATGTGCTGGGCACTGGCTCTGCCTCTAACTACCTGTGTGTACATGGATGCCTCTCTTACTATCTGTGTGTCAGTCTCTTCTCAGTGAAATAAAGGGCTGACTAGATGCTTCTTAAGCTCCCCTGTCCCCAGATCTGATATTTTTGAATTTAAGGTGTGAGGCCTGGTTTGATGGAGGTGAAGCAACTCTGGGTTGGCTTGATGTAAAAAGGTGTAGAAGGAGACTGAAAACATACAGCATTTGAACTGCCTGCTGGGAGAGATGGCAGAGGCCTGGAAACTTGAGTGCCTGGGATCCAGAGTTTAGGGGCTGAGCTCAGCAAACTTATGTCTCCTCTTGCCTCAGGGATAAGCTCCTCTTACTCCTGGCTGGTGACTTGTGGCTCCCAGCTGGCCTCAGGAAGGGCTGAAGAACTGTTGCCCATGAGCTTATTTGTGCACAGGTTCACTCTGTCTCTAAACAGTCAGATGCCCTGCAGCTCTCGCCCAGCATTGGAGGCAGGGTAACCTCTCCTGGTTCAGTACCAACTAGGTTCCTCTGACCTGCCAACCCCGCCTTGGGCCATTCTGGGTACTGTTCTATGCTCATGTGATCAGGCTTTCAAGGGTCAGGGACTGGCTTGGCCTCGTCTCTATCCCACAACCTGGGTTGAGTGGTGTTTGGCATATGGTAGGTGTTGAGTGGTGTCTGTTGGATTGAATTGAGTTCCTCATCAGAAGTCCTTCAAGGCCATCATACAATGGATCCAGAAAGGGCCAGTGATGAGGGCAGGGTCAGCTCAGTGGATGGACCGCCCGTGAAGCCTCTGTAACAGAGGCCTGGAGGAGGCTCATCTCAGGGAAGGAAAGAACTGCCCTGGAGGTAAGGAGGTGCATCACTGAAGTGTGCAGGCAGTGGTGGGGTGGAATGAGTGGGGCTGGCCTAGATGAGCCCCAGGCTACCACCCACCACACTTCCTGAGGTTGGGACTCTAGAAAACCCAGGTTAGGCCAAGTGGCCTGTGTGCATGTAAGAGAGAGAGACAAAGCATGTGTGCGTGTGTCTGTGTGTGTGAGGAGTGGCAATGGGAATGAGTACCCACTTTTCCAGTCCCCACTGCAGGGCTAGAGGGGGATCTAGAGATGACTTGTCAAGAGACTGGGGAGCGTTCTTTGTGAAGATGTAGTAACTAAACTTGGTAGTTCCTCCCAAAGCCAGTTGATCCTACCCATCCCGTCATTCTCAGTGGCATACTGAGGACCTACAGTGTGCCAGGGTCTGTGCTTGGCACAAGTAGAGGCGTCTCTTCTCCCCAGAGTAAGCAAGATGCGTTAGATGGTGTATGTCATCCTTCTTATTAGAACTGCAGGAGGTCACAGAGGAAGGACCCTTATTGAACGCCAACACACTTCATTTCACACATGAGAAATGAAGCCCAGAGAGGGGGAATGACCCTGCACAGCGCCCAGGTGCAAGACCTGAGTGCATTGGGCTCGGGGGTAGCTGAGACTGCAGGAGGCACGCTCTAGAGCACCGCTGGATGCCAGATGGCTTGGGCACTGGCTCCTGAGGATGCTGCTTGGGTCCCAGGGGTGCTCACCAGGAGGAGGCGATAGCAGGCAGGCCTTGGAGTGCTAATGAATCCACAGGGCAGTAAATACTCTGCCTCCATCTCCAAGCACGGGCATCTCCAAGCTCCCTCAGAGCTCCTCAGGGCGGGCTGTCTCTGGGAGGCCCACCTTCTCCACCCCTCCTTCTCCTCCCGGCAGGTTCCATTGCTCCTGGTGCTGGCACACCTGGCAGTCTGCCCACGTGGTCATCCTCTTTCATATGCATCTGGACCGTGCCCGGCGGATGGGCTCAGTGCGCATGCGTGTCTTCAAGCAGCTGTGCTATGAGTGCGGCTCGGCGCGGCAGGACGAGTCCAGCATGCTGGAGGAGAACATCGAGGGCCTGGTGGACAACCTCATCACCAGCCTGCGCGAGCAGTGCTACGACGAGGACGGTGGCCAGTACCGCATCCACGTGGCCAGCCGCCCGGACAGCGGGCCACATCGTACAGAGTTCTGCGAGGCCTGCCAGGAGGGCATCGTGCACTGGAAGCCCAGCGAGAAGCTGCTGGAGGAGGAGGCGACCGCCTACACATTCTCTGAAGCCTCCAAGCCGAGGGCCCAGGCGGGATCCGGTTATAACTTCTTGTCTCTTCGCTGGTGCCTCTTCTGGGCCTCTCTCTGCCTGCTCGCTGTCTACCTGCAGTTCTCCTTCCGCAGCCCTGCCTTCCTTTAGCGGAGCTGGTTAAGGGTGGGAGAGGACACATGGGCTTGAGAGTGGGGAGGACACAGTCTGATCTTGATCCTGCTGCAGATTCAACATATGACTGGACAGCCCGGTCACCTCTCTGGGCCTCAGTTTATGCATCTGTGGAATGAGGGGATTGCATTAGAAGATATGTAGTGATTCTTTCATTGGATGTGGCAATAAAGGGGGGAAGGGGAAAAGGGTGTAATAAAGGTTTTAGAGCTTGCCAAGATTGGTGCTAGTACTAAGTCAACAAGGAGGGACCTGCTTCCTTTCCCTCCTCCACCTCCATCTCTACCTCTCCTTATGCTTCATTTCCATATATCATCCCCCATTATGACCCCATTAGATTCTGTCTTAACCCTGCCTCGTCCTCAAACTCACATTCAGCTGCCTCTGCCCATCCTGGTTTGCTTCCTTTTGGAGAGGGCAGTGACCCCATTCAAGGCTTAGGGACAAGGTACCTGGTCCTCTCCTGGAAAGCCTGCTCCCATCGTTCTGAAACTTAGTATTTTTACTCTGGTTCTAGGGTCAGCTTGGCTGGAATTGTCTAGAGCTGCACTGTCCAATATGTTGGCCGCTAGCCATATGTGACTATTTCAATTTAAATTAATTAGAATGAAATAACATTAACAATTCAGTTCCTCAGTCACATCAGCCACATATCAAGTGCACAGTACCCATATGTGGCCAGTGGCTAACATATTGCAATGTACAGATATAGAACGTCATTACAGAAATTTCTGTTGGTGAACTCCGGTCCAGAACTTGAAATTCCCACTTAAATGTATGTGGACTTCCACCACTAAGAGGTGGGCACAGGTTTAAAGGTGCTACATGAAGCCTTCTGGGGGCAGGTAAAGGTGGGGTGGGGTGTGGTAAAGGTAGATAAATACTGTAAATAGATGACCTCTGTGCTCGTGGCTCTCTGTTGAGTAGCATCTGCAGGTCCTTGTGTTGTCTTACCTTATTTCCTGGGACGATATGGAAAGTGGGTCTGGGCTGGGCATGGTGGCTCACGCCTGTATGTAATCCCAGCACTTTGAGAGGCCAAGGTGGGCAGATCACGAGGTCAGGAGTTTGAGACTAGCCTGACCAACATGGTGAAACCCTGACTTTACTAAAAATACAAAAATTAGCTGGGC